ATACATACAACATGGATATATACCATAACTGAAATTAATCTTTCACTTCAAAAATGTGTGTTCATAATAATAGGTAGTGCAGCTGCCATGACTGGTTCTGCTGAGATCCGAATTAATACTTATAGGCCCTAAGCTCTTGAAAGACTTTGGTGCTTCCTCTTTACACACAGTTTATACACAGTTTACACATAGTTTATACACAGATTTTGTTTGTTTTTTTCTCTCTCAGTGTTGATTTAGCTACATCATATGTTCCATGGTAAAACTGGCAATGAGAAATTTTTGTGGTGCCCCTTTTTCTGACTTCCAAAGTACCTGTTTTGTGGTGTCTCATTTCCTTGATGACCTAAGCATGCATGTGCGTATTTTGTTTCATGGTTAATCCTGGTCTGGTTCTGCTGTTGGTTTCATCGTATGTAAGAATGATGCTGACGTTCCAAATATTTTAACTACCACTGCATCATCATCAGTCAAAAGTTTTATGTTACAAACTCATGATGAAAGTTGTTAGAAAAATTGTAAATGCTATTTGTGGCAGACTGCTTGAGAATAGATTGTTCGAAGTTTTGACTAATGAACTTGATGCTAAGTATGAAACTTTCATTCAGAAATTAGATTCTTTAGTAAAGGCACTAAGTTAGTCCTACAGCAGTTTTAAGAGTTCCTTCCAGAGATAAAATGATTTTTAGAATCCTGAAACAAAACATATGAAAAACTTAGTGAACTTAACAAAAAGGTTATCATAACTGGTTATCTTATATAGTTTTTCTTGCAAACATAACAACCAAAATAAATAAACTTATATTATTGAATAAATTTATTTAAAATATATAACTTCAGGTGGGAGAGAAAACTATTTGAGCTGATTGAAGTATAAACTCATTCAATCAAAATTAAGCTTGTTGAAAATATGTAATATTTTCTATATTTCTATTATTAAAATATGTAATATTTTCTACAAATGAAAGGAATTTAACTTTTGAATAATAATGGATAACTTTTGTAAACTTCGTAACATTCGCATATAATTTTTAACTATAAAGGCATATAATTTTTGCTACTTTACAAATTTAGAGAACTGCATCAAGAAATATAAGGAAATTGAAATAAGTAAATATTATAAACAGAATATTTAACACTTTCCTTTTCTGATTTTTTTTTTTTTTTAATCTTCTGGCTTTTTGCTCTTTCACAGTTGTTTGTGATAATTTTTCTTTAGAATTTTAGACCTTGTATTTTGGAGGTTTAGAAGGATTTGATGCAAGTAAACAGGAAAAAAATGCATGGGACACCAGAAACTTCACTAATGAATTGAACGGGTTTTGCCCCAATACACTAACCAGCTAGAGCATGAAACACTGGAACTGACTGTTTGGTTTTTCTCTGTTAAATTTAAACATAAGAAAAAAATAACATAAAATTAAGTTATGGAATATAACAACAACCTCTTGAGTATACTTATTAGAATTGAATTGCATAATTACAGAAGAGTTGATATTTTGGAGATCATTGCACTGGAAACTTTGTATTTTTATGTAAGTAGATAAACATATGTGATTTGATTTTGTTAACATATTGGGAGTCTGATTCTTGTTATGTCAGGATATTTATTGCAGGTAAGACTGTACTCAGCTCAGATTTTTCAGTCTAAAGTCCAAGTTCATAAATATAGTTCATGCGCTTAGCTCAGTCAGTATGTTTGGTGTTTTGAAAGCATTATGGAAATTGTTAATACTGCTTGGAATCAATCATTGGGGTGTAGCCTAGTTATTGCTCTTTTTGCTTTTTTGTCTTCGGTCCTAAGGTGTGACTTGTCATAGGTCTAGTCCTAGAGCACTGAGCTTTTGGTGTACTTTCATGATTTTTGGATATAGATGGCATTGAGATATCACCAGTCTTTTAAAGTTAAGATCTGGATTGGTGGGTTTCCGAATTTGTAGGTCACTTGTAGGAGTGCTGAAGAATAGGTAATGGTCTGCATCTCCTTTGACTCCACACACACACAATTGTCACTAATAGAGAAATTCCTTTTAAGAAAATAATCTGGATATGGGCCGTGACTGGGAGTTAGGAAGGCCTTGGAGCTTTTAATTTTTGAGCCGATTTTTGGGAAGAACTGGTGAGTGCACCGGCTTGTTGTGGAGTTGTTCCACTCTACTTGTCACTCATGCCTTAGATGTTTGTTTAGGATTTGTTGTAGTTGCGATTTTGGAAACTTATGTTGAGGAACTCGCCTTCTTGGGAAAGAGCTGTTGTTTTTGCTAGATTATTGGTTTTGTTGCCGTTGTGCCCTTTGATCTAAGTTATGGTTATTTCAGTATTGAAATCTTTAGAGAAATTATTAATTTATGAGCCAGGTGAGAAGGGTTGTCTGGATTTCGGATGGAGAGTATGGCTGCTTGGCTGTCTGAGTTGATGGATATTGGAGAAATTGTTTATTGATGCAATGTTGATGGTAGCTTTCATTGAGAGTTTCGCTTGATGTATGCTATTGGAGTTGTTTAAATACCCTTTAAATTTTATTTCAGAGTCCAGATGTTGTTGCATTGGAAAGAATGCTGCACATTTTAGTTTCTTACATTAAACTTTCTAAAACTGGGATGTGAGCATGAAATGCAATTAGTAACTGTATCATTGTGGAATTTAAACTTATTTTATTTATAATTAGGCATTATTACTGTTATTATATTATTAGACTTTTTTTTTATTATTGTACTAGGCATATTGATGAAATATTGACACTTAAGATAATCATTTGAGAGTAGGCAGAATTTTTGTTTTTCTGTCTGCTGTATTCAAGTGTTAAAATGTGTTGCCACAATGAACTTTTACTTGGTTGAACACTTTTGAAAGTCTTTCTCGTTTAAAGATGCTCTTTTTTGTCTCAATTTTACAAACAGATTCTTGTTTCATCTTTTATTATGCACCTAGATTGTTTCACAATATTATAATGAATACTGAAATAATTTTTTCTATTTCAAAAGGGAGTCATCTTGTTAGTTAACATATAAGTTTTTAGAAAATCATGTTTTATTTTAGAAATTTAATTCTGATTTCAGCAGAGTTTTAATTTGATAAACTGCCTATGAGCACTATTTATTTAAACAATGATCTTATGCATGTACTTTCAATTACAAATTCATGGTCTTATGGTAAGTTCACTAGATGTTGATAGTTTGATGTGTGTTTCGAATGCTGTGAACAGGCTGGCTATTTTAGAGGTTTTGTCGTTTTTCGAATATGTGATAAGAATGTTATCCGTTTTATATTAGAAAGTTCTGTGTAATAGCATCTCTTATCTTAGGCATATAGTCATGGTGTAATTTGTCATATTCCAAATGATCCAGTCGATTATGGATTTCTTATTTAAAAAAAGTAGATAATTTTATGAAAAGTTTTTATAGTTATAGTTTTATGAAATAGTTTTTATAGATAGTTTTATGAAAACAATAAAAATTTTGTTAATACAAATTAAAATGTAGTCTCAGTAGAGTAAAAAGTGTGACAAGTAAAAGGTTCATTATACTCTAATAAGTTAGATGAAAAAGAATTCCATACCTTTATATATGGAAAAAAAAAAAAAAAAAAAAAAAAAAAAAAAAAAAAAAAAAATTCTATAAATGCATTTGATGGCTGGGCATTTTCGCATATTTATTACTGACATAGTTCAAGTTGTTTAAGAGCATCTTGAATTGAGGTTGTGGCTGCAGAATAAAAGTTACTTAGATGCTTGGACAACCATTTTAGTAGAAGTAGTTAAATTTTCAGTAAGTGCCAAACTCTGGAATGATGTGCATAACCATTCTTCTGGCAACCATGCTCATAACAATCATTTTAGTCAAGCAGTGCTGCTATTTTCGTATGAGATCTATTTTTGTTGTATTTTTATACACAAATTGTGATATATTTTGCCTTAAATTTAGTTTTAAATTATGAGCTTGTGGAATTCTCCAGCAATGGAACTACAGTAAAATTGGCAGTAATATAGAATTTTGCTGAAAATTTTCTGAGAACAATGAGGAAATGCATTTTCTACATAGGCACTGTAGCCGAAGATTGCATGAAGCCGAGTCTCTACAATTCTCTGACATTTTTTCAAGTGAAAACAGATCGCTGTGTACTTCGCAAGAAGAATAACGAAAAAAAAAAATTACAGAAAAATTCAAAGAATGTGTTTTATTTTTTTTAATATATGATATAGTCCTTATTTAATGATTCAAATTTGTATTTTAAATTGCTAAAGTTGTTTTTTTTTTCCTCCCTTTGTTGATATTGTCTCCAAACTTACTACAAATATTGATAGTTCAGGAATCTTTCTTAAAAAGATGCAAAAACCACCAGCTTGCATGTGCTGAGTAACTTTTACAATTTCATTCGTAAAAAATTGCCAAATTGTGCCAAAATGGTTGCGATAGTACATAAGCACCATTCTCTGTTTTGAAGATTATTAATTCTGACTTACATAAAAATTCATTTTTAAAATCATAGCTGATCCTTTGAAAATATTTGTTATGCTCATTTTAAGGATGTATATTTCAATCCTTCCTTTGAGAAATTTTGTAAATGAAAGTATATGTATATCTTCATTATTTAAGAAAATAAAATAAATGTCTTTTTTTTTTTGGATGCCTTCATGCCACATCATTTTAATTTATTTTCAAGATCCAAATATTTAATCATACATGAAGAGTTGTGATCTAGAATATTAATATATTCTATGATTCGTTTTAATTTCTTTTTAAAATTTTAATAACAGCTTTTCCAGAAACTTTTTAATGAAGTTTTTTGGAAAGACACTATTTATATGATTTTTTAAATATTTTTTTAATTTCTGTAATATTTAAGTTTCAGAAAAGACTCAATTTAGTTAATGTCATTTCGTATTAAAAAACTTTGTTTTGTTTGTTATTTTTTAAAACTATTTGCTCTTGGTTTAAATATCATTTGGCAGCTGGGGATATAATTTGTATTACTGTACTGCTGATTCATTTCCATTACAGGTTTTGTTTTTGGACGAACCAACTTCAGGAATGGATGTAGAAGCTCGACGGGCTGTTTGGGATGCTCTCCTTACTTTGAGACATGACCGTACTATCATCCTGACAACACATTATATGGAGGAAGCAGATGTTTTAGGGGATCGAGTGGCAATTATGGCAGAGGGTGAAATTCAATGTGTTGGCTCACCTATGTTTTTAAAAAAGAAATTTGGTAATGTTCCTGATGTAAAACGGATCTTAGTAGCTTTCAAACATTTTTAGCTTAATTTTTAAAGTTTGACATTTTACAATAATTTCTGTAATATTCTGCAGTTTTCAGGATTAAAAGTATTTGTAAAAAGGTTGAATTAAATATATATACTGTAGGAATTTTCAATCTGAAATATTTTTAAATGTAGAAAAATATTTATGTATAAAAACAAGGAGGTAAAGTATTATGTTAAAAGTTTTTAGTCACTTAAAAAATTTTCACTGTTTAGTAAAAAGGAATTTGCTTATTTGATTTTCTATTTTGATTAATCAATTCTAAAATAGTTTAAACTTAAAATTAATAACTGTATTATTATTTAATAAATTATGAGATGATTTTCTTTAAATGGTGCTTTTCTCTAAATTTCTTTGATTTTTTAATTAGGAGGTGTCAAAATTTGGAGCTTATAAATTTTTGCAAAAGAAATTTTGTATTATGTATTTTGTGTTGTCATTGGGAAAATATTAATTGCTTATTAAAATGTTCATCCAATGAAATCTTTATGTTTGATCTTTTCTTTTAATTGGTTCCTTTTCTGAAATACTTAATTATTAAATAAATCTAAAATTCGTGTTCATATATGCGCTAAACTATTAGTTTTGAAATAAATATAACCATTTGCTAAAATACCTGAAAGGTGAATTAACTGCTCTATAATTGCTTTATTAACCCTCTCGCTGCGTATTTTTTTTTTTATCAAAATAGGTTCAAAAATTGCGTATTTTTTTTATTACATATTTCAAATCTACATATATTTTAGACTTAAAATATACAAAATTTTTTGTAAAAGAGTTTTTTTTTCAATACAGTCAAAAGTCGTTTATCCGGACTCGTCGGGACTTCGGCGATTCCGGATTATCGATTTTTCTGGATTATAGATCATCAGTTTAAATCGCGTAAGATAGCAGATGGCATGAAGAATTCTAAAATTAAAAATATGAAACCGTAATTTATGAAATAAAGAACAATTATGATCCAAAGGGTATCAAAATTTACAAAAAAAAGCTTAATATTTATTTGTTTACTTTATTAAACATTTCTTTCAATGTAAGTTGTTTAAGCTGCTTCGTTTTATGTGATAATACTTTCTCTTTAATTCTATAAACAGACATAATTTTCTGTTCAGTTACAAAGTTCCGCTGTTCAAGTCCCGTTAATTGTTGTGCCGAGAATACCGACTAACTTGTCAATCGAAATTTTTTCGTTTTCACTAACCTCTCTGTCACATTCTTCATGTCTTTATCCATTTTTTGCAGCAATTCCACTTTTTGTTTGATGGACATCGAAACATACTTTCGTTTTGTACGATCCTTTGGGAGCTCCAGATTCGGAAATTCTATTTGACATAATCGAAAGTTCAAGTTTACTTTTATAGTATTGCTCTTACAGTCTGCAAAAAAATAATAAGCTGGATCCAATTCGAAAATTAAGGAACAACACAATCATCAACATTAACTGAAATAGATAATTAGATAATTTTAGTTTATACTGTTCGTTATACATAAAAGGCGCACGCGAAAACGTATTCTGCGCTTGCGCACACGGAAATGCGCAGTTGTAAAAGGCCTTACGCGCACGCGTAAACGCCTATGCGCATGTGTCAACGCGGCGCATGCGCAGAAAGTTTTTAGCTTTGAGGTCCGGATTATAGATCATTCCGGATTATGGGTGTCTGAATTAACGACTTTTGACTGTATAGAATTAGATCATAGAAAAAAGTTGTCAGAATATTGAAATTGAAGAATAATGAAAAAAAGCAAAATTTTGAAAATCAATTTTGGTTAAATTATGATTTATTTTATAAAATACAAAGGTAAAAAGTATATACTAATGAAAATATGCAAAATACTTACAAAACATTTATTAGAAATGAAGTTTTGTATGGTAAATTTCGAAACAAGGCTCGAAGCAAAGTCCGACCTCGCAATCTTTGCACCAAATTCGCGTTTCTTTTCGAATTTTTTTCCGCTTTCAGTTTTTTTTTAACAACAGACAGCACACTGTCTACGAGGCTCTTTCTTGATGGGATTTGGGGGTATATGGCTAGCAAAATGTCAAGCAGTTAGCCTCATGGGATTGAGAGTTTGAACTACATTTGCTAGAGTGAACACTGGAATTTCTATCTGAATACTTCTGAATGCTTAGTTCAATAATTTGCAAACGGAAATCTAGAAGTGTTATTATTTTGTAATGGGTTATCCTTTTATAAAGGATATAAGCATTCCACAGTGATTGGTCCATGAATTGTCGGAAAATTTTTATATAATATTTCCCTTGTTGTTTTCTGAGGGTGGGGTAATATGACATTTCTTGGTCACATAAATCAACCCCACCCATCGTGTTGTTGTAATCACAAACAACAATTGGTTTGAGTACAGTTTTCTTTGATTTGCATTTCACCAAACGGGAACTTGCATTATGAACTGTACTTATAAGAAAAACACTTTTTTTATCTTGCCACTTCAGAGCCATAACTTTACCCCTTTGGTAAGCAAGGACGTGACCTTTAGGGATTTTTTCTTTTGCAAAATTTGGAGGAAGGTCTTTTCCTCATCTTATTCATAGACTCCAACTACTACGGATTCTCCGTAGTTTCTACGGAAATTCATGAAAAACTACGAGCTATGAAAAGTATGGAAAAAACTACGGATTTTACAGAAACAAGAGCAGGAGAACCAGTACGCAAAACAGAACCAACTAATTCATCCGATGATTGGCTGAATACTCGTGTTATCATATATCACGTGTTGAGTGCGTTCCTAGTTTTGAAGAATTAGCCAATCGTAGATCAGTAACTCCAACCGTTAACGACTTATCAATAGTTCCACCCAATTGTCTGTCTCCCAGGTTCCTCGCTGATGCGTGTTTAGGCTGCATTCGGCTGCATTGTGTAGTTTACGGCGAGAGCTTAGCGTGTGTCTTGTGAACTGTGAATCAGGTGAAAGATTTTTAATCATAATGCTGCCTCGAACGAAGAAGCCAAAATTATCAAAGCAGAAGTTTAAAGATTCATATTCTTCAGAATTTCCATGCATTAAAGCGTCCGAAATTTCTGTGAATCACGCACACTGCAGTGTATGCAACAAAGACTTCTCAGTTGCTCATGGCTGTAAACGGCATGTGTTTTCTCAAAAGCATATAGAACTTGGCACCGTAAAAAATCTAAAGAAATAACAAATTTCTTAATAAAAGATGATGAAACAGATCCTATAAAAGCCGAATGCTATTTTGTCGTTTTTAATTGAACATAATCTACGCTTTCTGTTTCGGATCATTCCAAAGAGCTTTTCAAAGCAATGTTTCAAGGATTCTGCCATAGCAAAAAAAATTAGCTGCGGTCATACCAAAACTGCCTGCTATTGTGAAAACGCTTGCAGAATGTACTGTTGCTGAATATTATAAAATCAGGTGTGCAGTACATCATTTTCTCTAAGTACTGATGGAAGTAATGATAACAAAGATAACAAACTATACCCATTGATTATAACATACTTACAGTAAAGAAACAGGAGTGGTAATTACATCATTGATTTCTATTTTTAGAAGTGCACGAAATAATACCCAAATAATACTGGAGAAGGTATTTTCAATTGTATAAATGAAAACTTTAAAAGCAAAGGTTTAGAATGGAAAAATTGCCCATCATTTTCGTCAGATAATGCTAGTAATATGATTGGAAAGTTTAAAGGTGTAGCATTGTTTATCAAAATGCATCAACCAAGTATAATCACCCGAGGTTGTCCGTGCCACCCTTTGCATATAGCTGCAAAAAAAAGCTGCTGAAAAATTAATTGGCTCAGAAATTGAAATGTTGATAATTGATATATATTTTTACTTGGAGAAAAGTTCGAAACGGAAGCATAGCTTCAAAGTTGCTCAACAAAATTTTGGGACAGAATGCAAAATTCATAGAATTTTGAAATATGCAGTACGAGATGGTTGTCTCTTTTAGAATCTATAACAAGGATTTTGGAACAGTGGGATGCTGTGATAAATTTTTTTGGAGAAACCAGATAACAGTGAGAATGAAGGAAAGAGATTGCAAAACATTAAAAAAATTTTTTACAGTCACCGACCACCAAATTGTACTGTTATTTTTGAAAAATACTTTGTTTATAACAGTAAAATATTAATTTGCAACAACAAGCTCCTTATATACATAAATTGAGAAGAGAACTTTTTGAACTTTTAATGAATTTATTTGTTAGATTCGTAAAACCATCAGTAATTTCTAAAGAAAATGAAGATGTTATTCTAATGTCTATTCCATTTCAGAAGTATAGTAAGCAAAAAGAAAATGAAAATTTAGTGATTGGTGCGGAAACAAGACTATATTTAAAAAATGCCAAGTTGAATGAAAGTGAAGTGAAATCATTTTTCAATTCTGTGTGAGCTTTTTTGTAACTGCATGTTCATATATAATTGATAAATTTCCACTGAGTGATCCATTTCTAAAAACATGCTGAAGTTGCTGACATCAACTTGAGAACTGAAGTCTCATTTTCATCTGTTCTTTACTTGATGAATACTTTTCCATCCATTATTGATGAAAAATGTCTTAATCAAGTAGAAATTGAATTTTCCATGTATCAAGTAGATGATTTGAAAGAAATTGTAGATTTGCGTATTGATATAGCATGGGGAGAAATTGCCAAATTAAAAAATATGAATGGGTGTATTAAATACAAAGTATTGCCTTCTGTAATGCTTGCTGTCTTAATAATACCTCATTCAATGCAGCTTGCGAAAGAATTTTTTCTATTGTTAAAAAAATCAGACGGAATTTCGACCAAATTTAGGTCTTAAAACTCTGAAGCAGTTTTGATGAAAAAATAAAATATGCAGGCAAATGAAGAACTGTGTTTATAAAAAAAACATTCTCAAAATCAGAACTTAAGCTTGCTAAGCATGCTACATATAAATCTTTGCATTCATAAATTATGCGTATTTTGTTTAATACTTATATGTATCATTCTTGGTTATTTAAATTTTATTTCCCTGTAGAAATCATATCCAGAATAAAGATAAGATTTATAGCTTCTGATTTTTTCTATGATTAGTAGTGATTTGAAGTACTTTTTATTAGTGAATGCTGAGGAGTTAAAAGAAAATTCTAATTAAATGTGCATATAATTTACAAGGTATATTTTTAATTATTCAGTTTATATGTATATGGATTTTAAATGTAATAAAAATTGATTACAATTAATTATTAATTTAAAATTAATGAATGGTTAATTACAACATACGCTACGCGCACATTTTCAAAGTTGTAAAAATGTCGTTCACGCGTTGACTACTGACAAGGTTTGCTGAAGGTTGGAGTCTATGCTTATTTACAGTTCCATATAAGTCTGTTCTTTCTGAAATTAAAATGTCTGCTAACTTTGGAGACATGTAGTAATTGTCCATGGCCCAGGAATCTGTCCATCAGGTGCAGAACAATTTTAGTGGAAGCTGGATAATTTGCAAATTTCGGGTTATACACAGTTCCATTACCTGTGTATATGAGAAAGTCTGCAATATATCAGTTCCCACTTCGCAGACCACAAAAAACTTAAGGCCAAATCTTGCTCTTTTTTTCGCGATGAACATTTTCCAGCTCAGTCTGCCTTTGAAGCGCATCAAACTCTCGTCTATGCTGAGATTTTTATCTGGTATATAAAGATTTCGAAATTGTTTCGAAGATGCCTCCATGATGTCATAAATTTTATTTAATTTTGGCCATGGATGATTATCCTTATCAAACTCTTCGTTATTTGTAAATGAAGGAACTTCATCAGCAAAATAAATCTATCTTTCTGAATTACTTGTTGAAAAATAGGTGTTTTGCAATATGTGACGTTTGGACCCAATAATATTCTTGTTTAGGCTTTTTACAATTCCTTGGAGAAACAAAACGGAAAAGAATAATCTAAGTTCTTTCTCATCCGTATCTGTCCAATTTATCCACCTTGATCTTTCTTTAGGAACTGCCTTATTCATATACTGCTGAGCGTATCTGTTGGTCTCTTTTACTATTATTTGCAACATAACATCGTCAAAAAAAAAGTTCAAAATAATCCAAAACAGTTGCATCATCTGCCATAGTGAAATTTGGTCCGGAATTGCCAATAAAAGGAAATGAAGCAGGAGCTGGTGAAATATTTTGCATATCAATTTTGCACCACTGTCGGGCATTTTGAATAGAAAATGAATTTTCAGATTCATCACTATCCACAGAGGAATCCGAGAAATTTTCATCAGTTCCGCTATAAATATCATCAGTATACTCGGAATCAGAGTCAGAACTACTGTCAGTGTCGGAAATATCGTCAGGAACATAGGTCATATCACTCGCGAAACATTTCCTGCCAGACATCTTTGAGCTCTGAAAAGCACGCGCAAAATGCTAAAAAAAATTCTTTTTATATTTTGCAGAAACGTGGACAACTAACGCCATCTGTTAGTCGACATCTAAATAAACAATTAAACATTACAGAAAAGCCGAAATGAAAACATGAACGGGGAAAGAGCGGGTTGCACACTTAAATAGGTGGCAAAAACGCATCCCCGCGATAATCGCGGGTTGCGCAAATTTTGCTACTTCTACATTGCCGTGGAAATCGCGGGATGCGCAGCGAGAGGGTTAATATGTTATTCTGTGAGGAACGAAAAATATTAATGAAATTATTTAGGAATTGTTTAAAGAATACTGGACTATAGCCACTGAATCTATATTTATATTAAATATGCTGGGAAAAGATAAAAGTGATGATTCAGAAATGATTAACTTTTATTTTTGATAAAAATAATTTCGCTGTTAATTTAAAAATTTGAAATATAACTGCTTGATTTGTGTTGTTAATAAAATATTTTAAATTTACAAATTTGAAATATTACTGCTTAATTTGTATTGTTAATAAAATATTTTAGTTTAGTAATGCAACAACATATTTTAATGATTGTTTTAATTTATATTTTGATGATATTTGTTCTAACAAAAACTAAGAAAGTTACTAGTTAAAAGTCCTTATGAATACTGATCATTTTTTGAAGAAGATAGCTGTTAGAGAGCTACTGTATTTTTTATGTATTTTGTTATTCATATTTGCAAAGATTATATTTTTGAATCTTGTAATATATCATAAAATGCAGTCACATTTAAAAATTCGAATTAATTAAAAAAAAACATGCTATTGATAATTAAAATAAGGTGAAATGATACTTTCCAGAAATAGTTAGTGGTGGAATTGTTTAAAGATAATTTCAATCTTATTTTTATAATGTTTTAGAGACTGAAGTTGGTTGAAGTGTTCATAGTAATATTTATTTCTTTATTTTGTCAGTTTCAGATATTTTTCTGAAATTTTGTTTGGTTCATATGCTAAAAATTGAGATGCAACTAGACCATGTTAATTCATAAGAGTTTTTTTGTCTTTTTCCATATGTATCTTCTGGATAAATGATTATACTTGATAAATTTCTACTCTGTACATGTCCAATACTAACAAAAGTAATTTTTTCATAATTTAAATTTTTTTCATCTGTGGGTGTGGTTTATTGTTCCTTCATGTACTTTATAATGGCTAGATTCCAAAAGTAATAGCAAAAGTGTATCATCAGAAGTATGTAATGTGCTTAAATGGATAGTGATGAAAATGAAAGAATAATCATGTTTAAAGTGATATTTTTAAAACTTTATTTTTTATATATTTTTGTATTAATTTTATATATTTATAAACTTTATTTTTATATATTTAAGCTGTAATTTATCTGTTTTCAAATTTATAACACACACAAAAAAACTGTATTTTAGCTCTGTGTACTTGATTGAACTAATATCACTATTTAATTTCTATTATTATTTCAGGCACTGGCTATCATTTGCATATAGTAAAAAATGAGAAATTTGATTTAAGAAGCATAACTGAATTGTTAGAGAGACATACACCTGGATCTACTTTGGAAGCAAATATGGAAAAAGAAGTTACTTTTAACCTATCTACTAGCGTTCATGCATCATATGGAGATTTGTTTGGAGAGCTTGAAACACGTAAACAAGAACTTGGTTTTAACTCTTGTGGTGTAACAGTTACAACAATGGAAGATGTTTTTCTAAGGTAAGTGTTTTAAATGTGTAAACAAATTATTAATATATAAGAATTTTTTAACTGAGTAAATTGTGCTACTGGTGGTTTTTAAATCAATAATAAAAATTTTTAACACAATTTCTTATATTCTGTGCCTAATTAATTGCATTGTAAGTATTTCGTATTTCCTGTAATATTATGCTTGAACGCTTTGTAATTGAGAAGTTATATGTTTTCGCACATCCTGATATCTATGAAAGGCTGTGTTTAAAATGTTTCTGTTCTTTCTGATATCTGGTAAATGGAGATTTTTTTGTTGCTATTCAGTGAATAAGGTGCTATGCATTGTTACAATCTTTTTCATGTTTAGTTTGTACTAGAAAATTATTATAGCAATGTAATGAGTTTTGTTACTGGAAATGAATTTTTATAACGAAAGAAAAGTATCCAAATTATTAGTTTTTGGTCTTTCATAATGATTTATAATTATTTAATAATATTTGGGGATTAATAATGATGTGAACATAAATATTAATTTCAAATATTTTGGGGAAATTTAATAATCAGTAATATTGTATTTCTGGGTTAAGATCCACCACATGTATCAAATAAAATGTCTAAAGCAGATTTTAGGAAATGTGTAATTTAAGAGTAAGAGTTTTTCGTTTGATTTTTTTGTAATAGCATTACTCATAGTCACAGTCTTAAACTAATGTTAATACTGTGAAAAATTGCTAAATGTTTTCAGAAACAAGAAAGGATTTAGGAATTAGAAATCATTGACAATTCTTTTATTGTAGTCATCAGGGATTTTAAATTAAGTTTCTTTAAAAAAGGATTGCATGTTTTGTGATTTGGGAAATAAAATAATTCACATGTAATTATCACTTTGCTGGTCTAGTAAAGGGAATAGAGTATTGCTATTATGTGAATTAATATAATTTTTTTTCTTAAAGGCGGTAAGGGAGGACATTGAAATAATTGAATTTTTATTCAAATAAAAGACTGGTTTAAATTGACTCAGCTTAGACACAGACTTAAGTATTGGATTAGATTATATCGTAAACTCAAATATCTCTGTCATCAAATTCAGCTATGCCAGATGTTATATTTCTTTTTAATTCAGTGCTTCAGTAGCATATCCCTCTGATTGAACTTCACTGTAGATTTTAATTAAAATTTAATGGTTTGTGCTAGAACATCATTGCATGATATTTATTTGGTACACATTGATTATCTGCCCAATCCTCCCACAAATCATTGACGTCTAATTTTTCACCAACCTAACATATGAAAAATAATAGCCAATTTAAAAAAATGGCAGTGCACTTAAAATTACATAAAACAGCAGCCAATTAATGAAATTAAAAGTACAAGAAACATCTACGAAACACTGAAAATTACATGAAACAAACATCCACAATGAAGCACTGAAAAGTGCATAAAATGGCAGCAAATTAACTGCATTAAAAATGCAGCAAACATTTGTAATAAAGGACTTTCTTTTTTCCCCAATCTTCCATCCATGTGCAGAGTGATCTGTTTTAACTTAAGTTTGAGAATTTCAGAATTCTTGGCATCTCGGAGCAACTTGGCACTGTTCTCCATGTGCCAACTTGTTTTAACTCGAAAAAAAAGCAGAGACTTGCACAAATTTAGAAAAAGATATTATCACTAAAGAATAATTATGATTAGAGAATTCAACTTATTAGGAAATAACTGTTATCACAACCACCTAAGAATGGTTCGTAAACTACTTTTGAGGTGCAAGATTTCCATAATAATAATGTAAAATTCTAGATGAATGAAAGTTAGTCATTTAACTTAACCTTTTTCATTAGCAAGCAAAGTCCACAGTGGCATTATGTGTCGGTGCAAGCGAAAAAAAAAATCCATACACAAATCAAAACAAGCAGAAACCACAAACATTACCCTTGAATTTCAAAATCACGTGCCTTATATGCTGGTGTAATGTGCGTGCAATCATTAATGGGTTGCCATTGTTGTAAAATTATGAATTTCCTACTTTGGTGACATAGTGCTTTGTGCAATGATTCTTGTTAGGGTTGGGCAGGTAATCAGAGAGTACCATTTATTCATTAAAAATCATAGCAACCACTGCCATATTATAAAATCTTTCTTTTAACAGGGTTTGTAGCGGTCCCTGCAAGTGCTTATAAATCCTTATATTTGAAAATAAAATATAAAAGCCCTTATACGTGCTTATTTTTTCTCTAAAGCACTTACTTTTTCTTTTTAGTGCTTATTTTTTTGCTTTTAGTGCTTTTTTTTTTTTTTTTTTTAAATGAACGTACATTTTTTCTCCGTACCAAAGCTGAAACTAAATAAACAACTTTTCTTACTTATATGGAACGTCAGATGGTGAATCATAATCCCAGAAATAGTTTTCCGCCCCCTTTCTCTGCACTAACATGAAGTGCATGTCGCTCTATTGGTCAAAGAATTGAGAAAGAGATAGAAAATTCCGGTACATTCCGTATTCTTTTGCTCCCACCCAATACTACACACGTTTGAATTTCTATCAAGATTTTAATAATTTACATTCTCGTTCCGCGTGGTGAGTTCATATTCACGTTTATTATGATCGGTATGCTTATATCTTTATATATATAAGCGGCTAAAGTGTGTGTCGCTGATAGTTTATTGTTGCCACTCGGAATAATGAGCTCAGAAATGAACGTTTCCGCAGTTTCTAATTAATGTCTTGGCCGATTAAAGTCGTATGAAGATGAGAACGGTATCGATGGATTCGGAGAATTTTTTGGAATCCGAGGATACGCTTCTCGAATTTCAACTCCGCCGTTCCATAGATATTCGAAAAAAAAAGAATTTGGCACATAGCCAAATCCCTGTAATAGGGAAAAACCAAGAAAGAAAGTGGAAAATGTAGGGGAAAATTAGTTTTTAATCAATATCTCGGCTAATTAAAGTCCCAAGAAGACGGGAATGGTCAAAATGGCATGGCACGGACCTGCGGAATCCAACGGTGTACTTTGCTAAGCCCGGGAGCCAGCTGTTTCGGAGGAGATGATGTTACTTCACCTCATATACATATATATGCGGCTTAAGTGTCTGTTTGTCGCCGATAGTTTATCGGTTGCTTGCGTAACTGTATTAGCCAATGGGGTGAAGTTGCCACGGCACAGGTTTGCTGTTTCAATTGAGATGTAGACAATTTCCTGTAAAACTTGCCTTTACTATGACCTCCATAAGCCTCAGGGCCAAAGGCTTAAGCGTGTTGGCATTTTTTTACCTGAGCCTGTATTTGAACACGGTCAACTTTATGTTGCCTGTTCAAGAGTTCATGAAAGAATGGACGTAAAATTAGAAATAATGGATGGTCTTCTGCAAGGCGAGTTTAAAAATGATGGAAAGATTTACACAGAATTGCTGTGTACAAAGAGATCTTGACATGTGAATTAACATTTCATTATTTAAATCACCTTTATTGAATGAGCTAGCAGTGGGCTTTTTTAAGAAAATACTGCCATGGTTTCCTTCATTGCACTCTACTTAAGCAAGTAGAAGGGGGAAACCCCATGGGGCAGTAAGCAAAGGGGGCGTCCTCGCCGCCCTGCCCCTGGGTAATCAGTTAAAATTAGCAGACACCTTTGAGAAATAATTTTAATTACAATTTATAATATCTAGAACAGCGGTCATTTCGTATGATCGCCAGGCTTTTGGTTATGAACATATGTATGAATATTTATAATATTATATTTGCAGTAACTGCTGAAGTATAGATAGCTTAAAAAATGGGTAAGTGTGTTTTAACACAAATTAGTTTTCAAAGGAATAATATTCAGAATGGCATAAATAAAGTCAAAGTAATCGAATAGTCAAAATACTTTCTTTTTTTTTTTTTTTTGCAATGCATTATATAGTATGGAAGTTGGGGGGTTCTCCCCTTTCTCCGCAAATCTCGAATATTGAAACCGTTACAGTTCGCAGCAAAGCAAGCAGCGGACTTTTTTTTTTTTGGTCACTTTCCCATCTGGATTGAATAGGACTAAAAGTTCTGCTGTGTACCAACACAAGCGAAGAATGATTCTATTCCGGAAATTTAATGCAGTCTGTTCAAAATTAGAATGACAAACATCCCAGATTGGTAAATCTCTTTATTAATCAATATGAGTACGGCAGGGAGCGCGACTTGTCCTGCTCAATGATAAATATGCCACATGAGCACATGATGGTGAAAACCAGACGAAGCAAAGGGGCGTTTTCCTTTATTTAGTTATTTATTCTCCGAATACTGGCAGCTGTTGATTCCGATTGCGTAATATCACGTGTGGAAGAATTAAGGTGCACGTATTGCGCAATAACGTTTGCGATATTTCATAGAGATAAAAAGAGTCTTGCTGTGCTTGCTAAGCAGATTAATTTTGAGTTCCGTTGGACTATTTTTTTATATGATGCACATATCGAAATGTCAAGAGCATTATTTAGTCGAAAAATCTAAAGAATGGCTACAACCTACCCCCCTTTCCACTTTTACCAGTTATGCTCGACTAGTCGGAGTTTTCAGATATTTGGAAATTTCCGAGTATGCCGGTTAGTTAAGCTTTTACTCTTAAAGGATGACTGCATGAAGAAATTTCCCATCTTCTGATTTCAGAAAAGCTCCTTTTTTTTTTTTTTACTTATTTTTACTTAAATTACTTTGCCTGCAGTTTCTGTTAAAGGAAAACTGTTATACAATGAAAATTTTTTTTCAGATTTTGATTTAAGTATTTTTAAATAATTATAAGATTGGAAAAATAAATTGTATTTATTTTAGGTGCCAAACGAATATAATAAATATGATTTATTTTTATTTATTTTCTCTATTTTGAACAGAAATTTCGTCATTAAATCTTGTAATATGATTTAGTTCTGCATAATTTTTTTTCTCTCATTGTAAAACTAGTTTTGTGAATTGAACTGTTATTTAAAATTTAAAAAAAAAAAAAAAAAAAAAAAGAATGTAATTGTTTTCCATGGTTGAGCAATGCTCATTCTCTCTTAAT